TTGAGGGAACTAATAGAACATAGACTTTCTATCTTCAAAATGGCTGGAGTGCTGTGGAACTCAAAGATAATTATAAGAATGACCCACTAGTTGGACATTACCTTATCACAGTTTCAAAATAAAACAAAAATAAGTTGATATTTGATGTTAAAATATTTAAATTTTATATTATTCTTATATGAAACTTTTGTCCTCAAATACAGCAAGAAATAATCACTACCTAGATTTTGTTTCCTTTGCATAGATCACACCATCCTGAATGTGGATATTGTCTTTCAAAATACGTGCAAGTCGCAAGCCGCTAAACCAATTCATATGTTTGTAAATAACTGTGGTATGAAAAATTCTTGGAGATGAAAAGTCATTTGCATGAAACTTATTCTTTACTATATATATTTTTTTTTTATCCTCACCCGAGGACATTTTTGCATTTTTTGTTCAGACAGAGCGGGAGGGAGAGAGAGGAAGAGAAAGAGAGAGAAACATCGATGTGAAGGGACACATCGAGTGGTTGCCACCCGCACGACCAATCAGGGCCGGGGACAAACTGCAACCGAGGTACGTGCCCTTAGCGGGAACCGAACCCGGGTCTCTCTGTACCGCAGGCCGACGCTCTAACCGCTGAGCCAAACCGGCCAGGGCGAAACTTATTCTTTACTCAGCTTTTTTTTTTTTTTTTTTTTGCTGCTGTTGCTGCTGTAGTAACCTTTTCTGAAGAAGCGCACTCATAACATATTTTACTACCTAATGGAGGAAGGTCAAATCAACTCTGTTTCTCATGCCATATATTTGATTTTTCTTCTTTTCTAAAAGTCTCTATGAAGTTTCAGTGCCCAGAATGCCTTTGAAATGCAAGAAAACTCTTGAACTTTTTTTTTTTTTTTTTTTTGGTAAGAGGTCACATAAGCTTTATCAAATTTTAAAGAGTTCTATGATTAAAAAGAGTAAAACATATTTCTGTCTTTGAAATAAATGTCTTTAAGGTAACAAAAGAATTCTAATTCTATGCTCATTCTTAAGGGTAAAGTAACTACATAAGTCATTTATAATTCTTCTGCCTAGGAGATTTGTTTTCTTCTTTCCTTCCTTTTTTTCTTCCTTTCCTCCTCTTTTCTTCTTCTCTTATAATTTTTTTATATTAGGAGTATGGACAGAAGTATACTTTCTTTTTTTTATTAACATGTAGTGAGGGGTTCCTGAAAAATTGCAGAATATAAATTGTGTCCCTTTATATTGCCAATGGGTATTCATTGTGGTCCTCATTCTTAGCTTAAATCAATACTATGTTAAACTATCCAGCATAGAAGTTTTGGCAACATATAATTCAAAATTGATATGTCTTGTAGAGAAACATGGAATGCTTTTATTATAAGGGACAGATTCAAATTTGAGTAAATCATCCCATTTGAGTGCAGAACACATGAGATGTTCTTCAGCATTTGAGCATTTACTATGTGTAAACATGTTGCAAAAGGCTTTGCAGACACCGAGGAAACAGGAAATGCCGAGAACAAGAGGATGGGATCCATCCTCCAAGTGTTGACATTCAAAGGCCATGAAAACGTCGAAAAGCATTATTATTAAATTAAATAATAAACTAAAAACAGAACATAGATACACGTTCTCCAAGGGTAAGCCATTGTGGTTTTTGGTAACAGTAACTATATACCATGCTTGCCCCCCAGGAGAAACAGGTGACCCCAGTATGTAAGAAGAGTGAACAACTGTGGCTCTCTAAGCTGTGTTTTAAATGGAGTCTGGCAAGAAACTTAAGTGACAAAATTTGCTTTGGTACTAGAAGGACCACGTCATTAGTGTGCAAGTGGAAGAAAAAAACGTATTTGACTATGACCTGGAATCGGCCTCAGCTGTGTAACTAACATGTTGGAACCCTTGTCAATGAGAGCAGTCCTCTCCGTTGATAGCCCCACTTTGATGAGTGCTAGACCCACCCACTGGTCATGCCTGTATCAACCCTGTAGGACCCAGCGTGCTTGGTACAGGAACTATTCTCCATCAATGAAGCCTGGAACCAGTGTTTGTGAAAGAGGGGTTTCCTATCCGCAGGCGTAGGCACAGGCTCAGGGACCTAACTATGGAATTGAAAAGCTTTAGGTGTCTCCCATGTGGGACATTGTAACAAGGCCCTTGGAAATAAGATAATGTCTGCTTCTGAGGCTTGGGACAAGTATCTTCCAAGAAATTAAGTGGAGATGAATATACAGCTAATGGGTTTATCTTTCTGTTTTAGATTAAAAGCCTTAACATGAATTCCTTTGTGTGAATGCATTGTACTTGATAGTAGTTAATGTCATTTGCTCTTTTTGTAGAAGGTTGTGCTAGGTGATCCTAGTCTACATCATATTCTGCTTCCTAACTGCTTTAGGGTTAACAGTTTAAGTGACCATGCTGCATAACAACTGGTATGATGTGGCCGTCATGTCCTTTCATCTCTGCAAGGTTTCACGTTCACATTCAGACACTGACTTTATATGATAGATCATATGAATTGTTCAGCTTCTCATAACACAAATTATGGTTCTGATAAAAGTTAGCATTGATCTATAAGAGTAAAATTAAAAATATTTTTTGGACAATTTTTAATTTTTCTTATTTGAAGAACAATCTAAAAATAATGCACAGAATTTAGAATTTCCATTATTTAGGATTAGTGTTGTTACCAAAATTAGACAATATTTAAGACTTTGTGCTATAAATTTATTTCATTATTAAAAATACAGGAGTTGGCAAAAGTAAATTTAGATGTTGTTTTTTGTATAGAAAATAATACAATAATTAATGAATAATAATACAAAAATAAACTTGCCCACCCCTGTATATTATTTATAATTTAATGTTTTGCTACATATACTGAATTAATACTACCTCAGTCATATGGCATAAATATTTATTTTAAAGAATGAATTTATATTGTCACTAATGTTTTAATATCTTTATCTTATTAAAATATTTTACTGATATTATTTGTTATAATTACAAAATAAAGACTTTTCAAAACAAATATGATTGTAAATGTAAAAGGAGACACGGGTTTTCCAATTGATAAACAGTAGGCTATTCCACCACTTTCACTACATTTGAATATTTTTATTCAGATTCTTGGGATAAGATAAATTGTTAAAAATAGGGCATGAAGAATTTAGACAGAAACATGAAGTTGTAAGTTTATGATGGTTTAATTTTTAAAAAGGAACACATTTTATTATATTTATAATAGGAAAAATATTAATTCTTCAGTAATTGGTTTAATATCATTATTGTTTTATTCTGTTTTATTTTTATTGCATTTGTTGCTGGTTTGGAAAACTAGAACTGGTTTCTAAAGGCCATTTTATGATTTTCCAAGCATGTTCTTTTACATACCATTTTTAAAAAGATTTTATTCTAGTTGTTTTCACTAAACACGATATCACTCTAGTGCTCTCGTCATTACTATATTCTTTACTTACCTTTCCTTGTGTTTATTGTTGTCCATCTAGGTTGCTCCTACATTCTTGGCATTTTTTTCAGAGTGGTAGGAAATACTGCATATATTTTATTTTTTCATAGAAGTAATAGTATGCAATCAATTTATTGAAAGGACAAAGATGGTAAGATTCATATGTTGCTAATTTGATCTACGAGAGGAGTCAGGTCATAATCAGGAAAATTATAACCAAAACAACAGTAGAAAATACAAAATGACAGATTCATATGATAAGTAAAGCTAATGATGTAGTAAATACTCTAACGGGAAGAGAAATTGGACCAGTACTGCAGAAACACTTTTACATGTCATTTCTATAAACACTGTTGAGGGTAGGTTAGCAGAACAAGATTTCTGTGATTCACATGTCCTTCCCTCTCACCGACTACTATGTATCATTCAGTGCTTATCTATATAGATGATTTCCAGCTTTTTAAAATAGAATTTGAAAATGAAAAGCTGCAAAGCTAGACAGCATGCATTTAAAGACAAGGGTGCAGGTACAATATTTTATACATTTATTTCATTGCATTTTTATAACAATAAGACCTGGCAAAAAGCATAGTTCACTATCCTCATGTTTGCTGATAGTAGTTTCAGAGATTTTCTTAGCTGACTCCTCACCAGAGAAAAACTGTTTTGAAGTGATTATTGCAGCATAAGAGAGACATGTTTTTTTTTTTTTTTTTACATAAAATGGATGTCTATAAACAAAAATAGTCTGGATTAGGCTGATGTGACATTATACCATACAGAATAAGCATTATTTGTTTCTCTAGAAAAACAATGAAAAATTATAATTGGTCTTAATTAACAAAAATTCTGAATGACTTTGTGTAGCCTAAAGTCATTTATTAAAATCTCATTCATTTCCATTTGGTTTTAGAGGTTTTTACATAATCTATAACAGAAAAAAATTATTTCTTTGAGGATTTATTTGAACTTCTAATAAAATATCACTCATGAGATTGTCTGAAAGTAAATGTTACACTTTATTTGGGATCCTGACAGAAAAACTTTGACATATATGCTTGATCCTTTTGTGTTTGAATATTTTATTTCCTCTTTTCTCTTGAGTGTTAGAGCAAATTGAAAATAACATGATTTCAAAGTCAAAACATAAACTGTAGCACATTCTCTCTTTGTTCTTGGTAATTATTTAACATTGTGTGGAACACGGGCTTTTGGTTTCTCATAAATTAAAAAAAATATATTAGGTGGAAAACTTTTTCAAAATCAACAAACATTATTTTTCTTTTTATATATGGCTTACTGCAAAGATGATCTGTCTGCTTCTCCTGATGTGGTATCACAACATTCATTTAAACGTTTACATGTGGAAATTGAAATAATTTTGATAGTAAAATTTTTCTTTCATAATTGCTGTTTTACATGCATTAATTTTACTATGTCGATATATATTTGCTCACTAAAAGTGATTTTCATAAAACTTAGGGAATCTGTGTCATCAACCTTTGCTGTTCTTACTTTTACTGTTTATTTATCATTGCAGATTAAAAAAATCAACAGAAACTTCCCTGTAAACCAGCAGGTAAGATGGAGAAACACCTGGAAAGTCAAATTATATATTTATTTTATTTTATTTATTATAGAAGATCGTCTTGATTGAATTTAATTTTTATGTGGAAATAATTGTTACTGTCATTAACTATCCTTAGGACAATACATAGCTTATTACATTTATTTCATATGCACTATATCTGTTTATATAAGCAGTTTTTTAAAAAAACTTTTTAAGTAAACTAGGTGAAAATTATTTTTTGCACAAATTATATTTATTTAAATACAATGTTGAAAAACATGGAAAGCAATTTATATAAAATAGTTTTACTGTATCAACATTTGGGAGAACTTTACATAAATCTAAAAATTAATAGGGATTTTCAAATTTGCTGATTATATTTCAAATAAGTCTAAATTAATGCATAGAGTAAAAATAATGTCTAATTAATCAAGTAAATAGTTTCATTGAGTTATAAGACTAATTGATTATAGAAAATAACAACTAATTCCCCTTACACTTTTATTATGCTAGAGTTCGCTTTTGCATTGCTTTCATAAACATACCAAAAACATTAGTTCAGGTGAGCAAAGCAAGTGAAAGCTCAGTGTTTTACTTCTGTCATTGGTATATCAGTTTGTGTGATGTGGGAACTGCAGTCAGAAGGCACAAACCTACTCTTGACAACAGCCTCATTTGCAACCACTGATCACAATTTAAATATCTAAGACATATATTTATAAAAGGTACACCAATCACAAAACAATCTCAATGGTAACAATTTTAAAAACAATTTTTTAGCTTATAAAAACTAGGTTACTTTTCTTATCTATGCCTCAGTTTCCTCATTTGTTTATAAAATTGCAACTATCTTATATATTTATTTTTGAGGATTGAATGATAACACGTTAAGTTCTTCATATATACCATTATTATCATTAATGTGTTAACATTTTAATGTTGTTCCTTGGAATACAAAATATCTGTTCTTGTTTATCATTAGTTATGCCACCAGCCTTGACTAGCTCTCCAAGCAGTGTGTGACTGAATATAAATGTACACAGTTTTGGAGAACTCATTGTGTCTACAATTCTTTGAATCATGCATTTCCAGCCCTAGGTGTCCCCTGCCTCCTAAACTGAGGTCTCATGCTTGAGCCAAGTTGATGGTTTGGGTAGATGCAGAGGTGGAAGACGTGTGTATGCCCTGCCACGTCCTACGGCAAGCTGTGGTTGGACTTGGGACCCTTGTATACAGTGCTAAGACCAGCGCTCTAGACCACAGCTGCTGTCCCGGTAGCTCTGGGATAATGCCAGAGAAAATCCTTTGTGGCTCTCATCCAGTCCCAGGTGATTCTGGTGCTGACGGTGCACAGGGGACACCTGGAGAAAAGCAGGCTAACAGTTTTGTAGAGCTAAGTGGAGGGAACATTTGCTGATGAGAAAGTGTTCCAACAGAAAGACGCAGGGCACACAGTCGTTTCATTGTCAGACATATGAAAACGTAGATATGCTCACTTTGTAATTTCTTGCCAAAAACATGTGATAAACATTCCGAAGAATGACTCTAATATCTCTGTTATCACTTTTCCTTGCCCTTTCTAACCTCACATGTGAAGAATAAAAAGTTAGTGTAATTTATATTACTGTGAATGTCTCATAACCTGATAATGAAACCAAGCGATGGTGTTGGGGTTTGTTTTCTTGCAAAATTAAAGAATGAGTTCCCAGACCAAGGGGTAAGAGAAAGGACAGTGTATTTGAAAGACAGACAGACTCCCCACAGCAGGGAGGGGACCCAAGTGGGTCGCCTGTGGGGCTCTGCTGTCTAGGGGTAGATATGTATTGTGAGAGTCTCTGATTGGTCCTTTCAAGGAATTCTGCCTTAGTGACATCCATGCATTTTAAAGCTTGTGTTCCCCACCTGGCTGGGATCAGCCTTAGATCATCATTAGGGGCCTTAATGACTTCCCTTTTTATGATAATTTAAAATTCCCCCAGTTGTTAGTGAGGAGGAGGGGAAATGCCCTTGCTTGCTTTTGGTTTCTCCCCCAAATCCAACCTTGTTTTGCTATAATCCTTCTTAAGGTGACCTGGCTTTCTGCAATAGGAACACATTCTATAGGTCTGCAGCAGAACTCGTCCAGCAATCCTGTTGTGTTGCTCCCAGAAACCAGTAGGTATATTAATGGGAATAGGTCTGAATCATCAACACTTTATTCTTTAACAGTAAATAAAATTCCTTTGCAAATCCATCAGGGCCCCAGAGAAAGGAATGGATACAGTTGCAGTTCCCTTCTTGCATGAAATCAGCCTTTTTAGATTTTTTGTTATGTAATTGACATGTGCTCCTTCCAGGAGCTTCTAATTTGCATTTCTATTAATGGGGGCTGGGAATTTCTGGCCTTGGGGGCGGAATTTCCCATGCTGGTTTTAATTTTATTTTGAGATCTATAAAGTCCAAATAAACCTCCAGATATACTGTGTACTAAATTGCCTGACTTGTACTGAGCTCCAAGTCATCCCAAACTCCCACGTGTCTCAGTCTTCCCGTGGTCCCACCCCTCACTGCCTAACCTTCCAATGTCCCCTCAATCACACCGCAGCTACTTTTATTCATGATGGCAACTACATTGAACACTTCCTACAAATTCCTTTGGTGACTTTTAACATTCCTTACTGCTTCTGCATTCATCTGGGTTTTGAGTAATACTCAGTAAATAAAAATCTGAAAAATTTATATAACATAAATAATAACAAAAATATGAAATATTATAACACACTATGTATATATAATAAACACAGAAAAATATTAGTATTCAGTGGCCTTTTATTTACTAGATTTGTGATATCATTACAAAAATTTAGTTGAAATCTCTTAGCGACTCAATTTTGAAATTATAATACATTTTTCTTATCATTTTAAAATATGAAAGCAAGAGTTAACAGATTTTTTTACTTATTACCTTCCATCAAGTAAATAAAGATATTCAGGAAATATGATTATAGTTCAACATTTATATAAATCCATAACAGGAAAAACTCAATTTCATAGTGTTATACCAATGAATTAGGAAAGCAGAGTCCATTCCCAACTTAATAAAGTCTGAGTCATACTATGGAAAAAAATTTAAAAACACATATAATCTAATTTCTCATTCAGATTTGGCATTCACACGGAATTCTTAGCTTGGACTAAACCAGCTGGTTGCTTTCAGCTCAATTTTCTTTTTAATTTAAGTTCTACGTGAAGTTCTCGGAATCTTAGATTGCATGAATGTTGATATGTGTGCTTCTGATTAAATAAATCAGGCTATTTTAAAATATTAAGTTTTATAAAATAAAAATCAAGCCCCCACATATCCATGATGCTCTGGATCTCAAAATAGAAGAAATAAGATATCACCCAAGTTATATTGTAACCGAAGTCTCCTGCTTCCCGTGGGATTTGGTTTTGAATGTGTGCCACCCATGGGTTATGGCTATTCCAACCAGAGAAATTAAAATAAAAACAAAACATAAGGGACTCTGGCACTGGAGAAATTCACGGCTGTCTGGGAGCGGCCGGTATCACAGGTTAGCTCCCTAGTGATACTCCCACAGTCCAGAATGCATGAGATGTTCAGTAAAACCATCTTCACCAAAGAAGAGATTGTAATCCAATATTGCAAACCCTATGAGGAAATAAATCATTATAAGAGAACACATAGTGGAAAGATTAAAGAAAAATCCAAAATTGTTTTTATCATATTTTTTGTTTTAAGAAAAGAATACAAATTGTAAGTCAAGAAGAGGAAATGTTAAAAATGTGAACTTGCAAAAGAACCAAATCAAAGTTCAAAAAAGAAAGGAAAAAAAAAAAGTGTGCATTTAAAATTAAAATACCTCATTGAAAAATACATTAAAATGAAGATAAAATATTAGCTGGAAGTAATATATCTGAGAATATCATCAGAATGCAGCAACCTTGAAGGGGGTAAAAAGTTTGAAAGCTAATGTAAGACATAAAGTTTAGAATGAGATGCTCCAAAAAAGAAAATAAAAAAAAAAACCTGCAGAAAGACTGAAGAAAATGCATGTAAGGCAATGTATGCAGAGAGATGTTAAGAGTTCCTAGGGATCTTTTCTTCCCTCTATTGATTTCAGAGAGAGAGGAAGGGAGAGGGGGAGAGAGAAAAAACATCGATGAGAGAGAACATCTACTGGCCGCCTCCTGCATGCCCCCCACTGGGGATCAGCTCCACAACCTGGGCATGTGCCCTGACTGGGCATGCGAATCGAATCGGTGACCTCCTGGTGCAGGGTCAATGCTCAACCACTGAGTCCCACCAGCTGGACTCCTACGAATCTTTAAAGAACCAAACCAACCCTTGAGCATATCAAGAGAAACAAAGCCACATCAACAAAAGATCTGAAACAACTTAAATATCCAATCAGTTGGCTACTGTGCAACCATTAAAAAAGATGAGATGGCTGTCTAGATGCTGGTGTAGAAGATTGTCCTAAAAGGTTTTTTAAATGACAATAGCAAAGTGAAGAACTGGGAATACAAGTAAGCCACTATTTTTAAATAGAGGGTTTGGAATGATACACACACACACACACACACACACACACACACACTGTGAGGATCTATTCCCAGCATTGTGCTTAAGTTCTGTGAGCGCTTTCATTTCAACTTCTACTCACTTTGTTTATTTAAATTTTACTCTTGAATTCCTACATCAAAACACTCTTATTTTTGTTTTGAGTTTGGATGTATATTAACTCTGTTGTTCTTGCCACCTTCTCCTTTGCATTTCTTTGTACTGAGAGCACTGCTGTTCACAACACTTATTGGACCTCCACTGGCTTCGGGTCTTTTCTGTTGGATGACTGGAAAAACCTATGTGCTTGCCATTTTCTGAAGATGTGTTTCTATTATTACGTGTGAGGTTGAGTATCTCTAAATGACATTATCATATTCTTTTATATGTCTGTCTCTGGAGGGTGATTATGTTTCTATTTTCTTCCTCTTTTTATTTACTTTTA